CTTTTTTTAAGCAAAACCCCATGTTTTGTATTAAAAAAAAAAGGAACTCCACAGGACGTTACTACCACCACTAAGTTGCACTGCATAGAGCTAAGAACGCAACTAACGATTCTATCTGACGATTAATCGGATTAAAAACTGGCACACACTGCAGATTTTCTTTTTTTTTTTTTTTTTTGGTTAACCAATTAATCTTCTTCTACACAATATTAGAAAGATGCTAACAGATGCAAATAAACAAATCGATTTTTTTTTTTAAATAGGAAAATGAATATTTGATTGCATAGAATGCAATCATAGGATTATTTTGCTATGTGTCATTTGAGGAGTTCGGTGTAGAACAAATTTTACAAACACTTTTCATCTTAAAGGAAAACTATCAAACGATCAACTATCTGAATGTGTCACTCTTTCAGCAGATGACTTTTTTGAGTCTGTGTACTCCAGTTAACGATTAACCGATTACTAAATTAGCTGACGATTATTCAGTGATCAGTTCATAACGATTAATTCTCAGTCCAGACTTGTGACTTACATAGGAGTTTTTCTGTCAAATGCGTTATATTACCAGTACTACAAAGAATTAACCGCAGCTTTTCCAGTGTTACTTTTGCCTTCCCGGCTGCTTCAGTGATAAAGAAACATATATTTCTTTGGATCACACTGTTTTCCTACATTTTCCTCAGCTTCACCAACGTCTTCCATGAGATCTCTCTGATGCGTTACAACCTCTCAGTTAACTGTGGCTTCAGCTGGTGTGGTGTCAGATTTACTGGCACACAGATGAGGTTGAAGTCTGAATTAAACTCAGTGTTGTGGCAGTGAATAATAAGTGGAAAAGTCGAGGGAAGCCATAAAGTCTGGAATACTGTTATAAATTAACTTGTTAATGAGGTGCCACAGGCAACAACTGCATGATTGTGATTACAGCAGAAGTCATAACAATTGGTTTTGCTCTCGATCTCGTCCTTTTTAGTGTTATGATTAAATGCTAATTGATTCTCTGGGCAAACCAGTAGCTGTGTTGACAGAACCAATGGGCCTGAACGCACCGTCCTCTCTCTGTCTCAACGTTTTGCAGTAATGATTCACAGCTCGCGGTTCTCCAAGTGTTTCAGGATTTGCTGTGAAAAGCTGTCAAAGCTGTTGGACGTTGATGCTTTTCCTTTTTAATCTGGTGATTTTAACTTTTACTGCACTCTTTGGAACGCCACCGAATGGAAGCGGTCTTTTGGATGAATGCTGCTTGCTTTATAAACATTTACAGTTGACAGATTACAGATTTGTTCTTTTTTTTTTTTTTTTTGCTTTTTTTGTCAGTACCTGAGACATCAATTGAAAAAACAAAAAAAAACACAAAACAGCTATGCTAACCAACCAGACCCTATGTGGAAAAGTAAATACCCTAAGCCAATAGCTGTGTGTTAGCTATCAAACCTTCGCGACAAGCACTTATGAGTCTTTTGTCTAGACTTGCCGTATGAATTTGAGTTTTCATTCTTAATTTAACCATGTGACTAAATTCTTGGTTTTAAACAAGATAGCTCTATACACTGCAGTGCGCATCTCATATTCTGTGGAGGACCACTGTGAATTTCTAAGTCAGCCTGATAGACGTTTCCCCTCTAAGTGAGACAGCAGCACTGCTTTTAGAACATTTCAGCATCAGAGCAGAAATAATTCAGCCCAACAGACTCGAATCCATACAAGACATCGGTCTGCTGACTGATGGAGCAGCTGCTCCAGGTTACCACTGGAGCTAAGCATGAATGTGTTTGGAGGATATTTACACACAGAGTCAGTAGAAAGCCATATTCCTCCTACAAGTAGTAAGTTTTCACGCTTTTAAGATTCAGCGATGTTGCTCTACACAGGAGACTTTAAACAATGCTGGGTCATTCATTTTAAATATCTGACAGCTGTATTTATCTGATGGTCAGGTTTTATCTGGTGTCTCAGCACACTGGAAGTTATTCCTGTATGAAATACTGGACCGTCTTTGTTTTTTTTATTTTTTTATTTATAACTTTCTTTGATAAATGTGAAGGTGATCAGGCAACAATCTGGACATTTGACCTACATGTTGTGTTTTTATTGTGTACGTTTCAGAGTATAAATAAATACTCTTTTCATAATAATCAAATCCATCCATGGATATTATTTTAGGATGATTTTTCTTTCTAAAATATTAAGCAAAAAGTAACATTTGTCTTATTTTTCAGTGTGTGAGGGGCAGAACAGTCACAGTTCCCATTTTTACTCCAACAAAGATTACAGAGTCGGAGGCAGATTATATAATGTATACAGAGTGGAATAATTGTTTAGCTCTAAAATCCATCAGAAAAATAAATGTTCTTAAACATGTTTTTTTCCACATTATAGTTTATAAAATTACACAGTTGTGAAGTGAAAGTTAAGTTTTAGGGTATTTTTTTTTTTTTACTAATTACATCACTTCATGTTATTAAGATTTAACTTTATCACTAAAGCATCAAATTAGAAGAATTAAATTGATGCCAACAAACAGGAAATAAACATTCTTGTTTTTCGTTCATCCTCCTATCGGCGAGACATTTTGGCTGGTAGTCATCATTCCTCTCCTTATACTTTATATATTCTACATGTTTCAAGATTATTTTTTCGGTAGCATCAGTTTTTCTTAATTCGTCTTTATAACTCTTAATTCCACAATTTGTACCAAGTTGCTCCCTTAAAGGCAATGTGTTTTTGGTTTGTTTGCATCCTTGGACACATTTTGAACTCTTTTATTATTGTTATTGTTATTATTATTTTTTTCTTTAAATCAGTTGAAGATTCTCAGATTTCAATGGAGTTTCGGGTTTCCACTGAATACGCTGAATGAACATCCATCAGTCATCATGTCAGTTCAGCTTCTGCTGCTTTCCCCACCTTTGATCGATGGACGCTAAATAAAGCATGCCCTTTTAACTCCTTCTGTCAGAAAACCTCCAAGAACACACTTGGGCTTTTGGATTTAGAGCAAGAGACGGGCTGAGGAGGAGAAGGGAGGATGAGAAAGAAAACGAGGAGAGCAGGGAGGCAGGCGTTTGCCTTTTCTGGTAGTTAAAAGTCACCGAAAGAGCAAACAGGAATCCTCAGAGCTGCAGGACGGCTGAGATACAAACCAGATTGCGAAGGCTGATTCATGACGAGGGAAGAGTCGCTGTTGCTTATGGACTGAACTTCGTAGTTGCTAAGGTATTGTAAACTAACGCGCACTGTAGCTTTTTATCTCTCGCATACATCAGTAAGCTGTCTGGTGGTCCGCGTGCCACATATAAGAAGCTCCTCGTCTTTGATGCTCTCTCTTTCAAATGTTTGGATTGTGATGATAATTCCCACAAAACTGCAAAAAAAAAAACAACAAAAAACCAAAAAGAAAACAACGTGCTGGTGCAAACGCTCAACTGTAAGCTGAAGTGACCAGCAACATCGCGTTTGTGTATTTCAGTGAGTAAGAGAGGAGAATCCTTGGGGCGACATGGATGATGACTTTGACCGCCGCATGGAGCTGAGGAGGCAGAGGAGAGAGCAGATGCGTCAGGATGCAGAGAAGTGAGTGACGATATGGACACAAGTCAAAAGTGCATGGAGAGTTCTTGTCTGAGGTTTGCAAAAACTCGACATCGGGGCAATGAATGGTCTTTTAAGTTGAAATCTATTGATGCAACATACAACCTTTACGCATATCTAAAAGGAATCAGCTCATACTATATTGTTAAAGTTGTTGTGGAGTTTTTCGTTTTTTTTTGTTTTGTTTTTTTTTTGTTCCGATCCACACAAAGTCAAGACCGACTTCTACTTAAGACTTGATGACAGATCGGAGCTGCTCTGTGTCATCAGAGTCCTGGGCAGAAAGACTAGTTCCAGCTGTTTTCTCACAGTCTTCCTGCCAGCTGCCGCCAGGCGGGTCAACCCGGCCCGCCCTCCAGCCCCTCGGCTTCTCTTTTCTCCAAATGTGCCAGACTCTGGAATGTTTTGACTCTCTTCCTATTTCGGCACACGATGACCCTCTCTGATGCTCTCGACCCGTTTTAGTAATGTTTGCTCTCCTGAACTCTTTCTCCTTCTCTCTCAGCAACAAAACAAAAACGACAAAAACATATTTCTCTCCAATTGGTAAGTCGTCTAGACGTACTTCTGATAGTTGGAGCCCTTCAGGGTCAAAGAATAAGATGTTTTTCTAATATCTTACTAAAAGTTTGGAGAAAAGGAAGAAGAACATTAGCAAAAAATAAATAAAAGAGAAGAAACTGAAAAGATTTAGTGAAATTGCTTCATGTTCAGGTTTTTATTTCTATGTCAAAGAAGATGGAGATACTCAAGGTTTTTGTTTTAACTCCACGAAGACTCACTGATCTAAGGAACGGCTCACAAGACTTAAAGTCCTTCTGTCAAGGAAGAGGCACAAATCTTTGCTTTCCGTTCCATATCTTTTAGCTGCCCTCGTCACAATACACTACTCTGAAACAAATAGATTCTTATGTAAACGTGCCTTATCTGCACGTTTTTTTTTCCAGGGGCGTTTTCACAAACGATGACGATGAGGAGGAGGCTCGAGAGCGAAGGCGACGTGCCAGGGAAGAAAGGAAGAAAATGAGAGACTCGGACGAGTCTGGAACGACGGACACGGCCGACACTAACAGGTGCCGGGGGGCCAAACGAGACGGCCGAGGGGGATTCATACTCTGTGTAATGGAAACATGGTTCCAGTATTTCCAACGCAACCGATGCTCCCCATAACAAACAGGCAGAGGAAGTTTTATTGCGGGTGCTTGACAATCGTTTTTGTGAGTGTGACAGGCCACTTTTCTAACTTCCTGCAGGAGATGTGTGATTTTAGCCTGTACAAAACAAAACAACAAGCATTTCCGCTGAATGACTTTGTAGCCCTGACGCAGAATTACATTGCAAGAACTGGCTGCCATGTCTGTTTCCAATTGGTGAAAAGTTTGAAAGTAGCATTTACAATCCTATGCTGACAAGATTTATTAAGGTTTATTGTTAACTTGTAGGTTAATTTCTGTCAGCTATTAAAAACAACAACAAAAAAAGAAAAATAAAAGAAGAAAACTGTGCTGGTTTTCAGTGCAGAGACATGAAAAACTCTCAAATACTTTGGAGAGCCTTCACATGACTTCTGCTTCTGTTTTTGTTATAAAAAGGCAAGTTTCACTTGTTTATTTTAACTTTAACCCAGGCACTTACAGATTACTTCCCCAAAAGTTAGAGATTACTCTCTGGGGCATTTCAGGAACTTACCAGGTCCTTTCCCAAACTTACGGGGAATACATTGTGGAAAATTAATGAAACTTAGCAGATACTTTCAGGAACTTGTTGGACATTTTCCACATGTCTGATGTTTGAAGCTCTTAAAGGTTCAACTTAAAGGAAGCGACACGTTGTTGTTTTTTTCCCCAAGAATTTACATTGCTCTTTCTGGAACTTATCATTTACATTCTGGAAAAATTCTGTTTCTGAACTTTCATGAATTTCTCCCAGAGCTTCGATGTTACTTTCCAGAAACTTGGAAGTTACTTTTCAAAACCTTCATGTAACCTACTTGGTGTTTTTGGACATTTCATGACGCTTACGTGGAGTTTTCTCGGAACTTGAAAAGTTACTATCCAGCAGCTTAAGACTGCTTTCCAGAACTTTGATAAAACTTTGATGAGGAGTCCCATGAAATATTCATGTATGTTTTGGAAAGTGAATACCAAGTTATATAAAAGTCCCTGCTAAGTGTTTGGTAGGATCCAAGAAAGTCCCAGGAGGTACCTAGGAAGTTTCACCAAAAAAGTTCATTGTAAGGGGTTGGAAAGTACACCTGGTCAGTTGTATGAAAGTTCTGGAAAGTACCTGAAAACCTTCAGTAACATTTCAGAGAAAGTAACATCTGAATTATTGGAAGTTACTGATATTCTTAAAAGATTTCTCCAAAGAGGGATTTTTTTTATTATTATTATTTTGGCAATAATAGTTTATTAATGTCAGTTTTCTTCCTCCTTTTGACCAAAGCTGACAAAGCATCCACTCATTCACATGAGATTTGATTTTAGTCAAATGTGAGCCTATGTCCAAGTTTCCAAAAAAAAAAATAAAGATCTCATGTTTGTTTAGCGTGACGGAGACCGAATCGTCTGCGACTGTTCCCGGAGGAGCGGAGGATGACCAGGCTCTGCTGGAGCGCCTGGCCAAGAGGGAGGAGCGCAGACAGAAGAGGATGAAGGAGGCGATGGAGAGGCAGAAGGAGCTCGACCCCACCATCATCTCCACCAACGGCACGGACGGCGGCCTGCAGGAGCAGCCCCCCGTTAGCAACAGCAGCAAACACACAGAGGAGGAGGAGGAGAAAACAGAGGAGAGGTCTGCTCAAGAGGAAGTCACAAATACTGAAACCAACTCATGGGCAAAGGAGGAGGGAGAAGAAAAGAAAGAGGAGCAGGTGGAAAAAAGTGTTTTTTTTCCCTTTCTTTTTAATAATAATAACAGAAAAGAAGCAGCTTTTGTCTCTTTGGAGGCATCAGAACATTCATAGGATGATGATCTATAAATGATGACACACGATTTATTTTTAGGAGACTGAGGAGAAAACGGCAACGACCGAAGTTGAGCAAGAAGAACCGGATTCAATGACAAACGACACTGAAGAGGAAGTTGTTCCAGACCGAAACAAGGAGGAGGAAGAGAGGAAGACAAGAGAAGAGGAAGAAAGACAGCACAAAGAAGAAGAAGAAAAAGAAAAGCTGAGGATGGAGGAGGAAGAGAGGCAGAGGAAGGAACTCGAGGAAAAAGCAAAGAGGGAAGAGGAAGAAAGAAAACTAGAGGAAGAAGAGAGGAAAAGGGAAGAGGAGGAACAACAACAGAGAGCGATGGAAGAGAGGCTCAAGAAAGAGGAGGAAGAGAAAGTGAAAAATGAAGAGAAGGAAAAAGAGAGAAGGGAGACTGAGGAGAGACAGAAGAAAGAGGAGGAGGAGGAGGAGAAACAAAAGCAGGAAGAGGAAGAACAGCTGAAACGGGAAGAGGAGGAAAAGCACAGAAAAGAGATGGAGGAGAAGGCGAGGAAAGAAGAAGAAGAAAAACAGAGGCAGGAAGCTGAGGATAAAAAGAGAAGGGAGGAAGCTGAAAAGCAAAGGAAGATAGAGGAGGAGGAGAAGAAGAAGAAGGAAGAGGAGGAGAAGCGGAAAAAGGAGATGGAAGAGAAGAAGGAAGAGGAGAGGAGGAAACGGGAAGCGGAGGAGAAAAAGAAGGAAGATGAGAAGAAGAAGAGGGACCTGGAGGAGAAAAAGAAAGAGGAGGATGAGAAGCGGAAAAAGGAGGCAGAAGAGAAGAAGAAAAAGGAGGAGGAGGATAAACGTAAAAAGAGGGAGGCTGAAGAGAAGAAGAAGAAGGAGGAGGTAGGACTGCAGCTCTCACTGGTCAATGTATTATAACAGATTTATGCAATAATATGATAACATTAATATCATATTTACGTCATTTTCCTCTGTCTGATCTTTTTCTGATTGAAGGAGGAGAAACCTAGGAAACTCGGCTTTAAGGAGAAGGTAAAACTAAACCAGCACTTCTTTGCCACCGATGTGTTAAATTTTAACTTTTAATTACGCCTTTGAAATTTAATTTTTTTTCTTCGTGGAATAAACATAGCTATATATGATACGAAGATAAGTTAAATCATTTTAGAAACGGGTGTGGAAGTTTATTCTGCATTTTCTGTAAACACAAGAGTCATAATTATTCATACAGGATGAACTGGACACACCTCCAGCAACATCCACACAAATGTCCAAGCTTCTGGCATTTTTCAGGTCAGGCACTATCGCCATTAGGTGAGAGCAAAACCGACCCCACAGCATAACGCTGCCACCACCGTGTCTGGATCACCTTCGCTCCTCCGAGCGTGTTTTCTCGGTTTAGGCCAAACGTCGTCATAGATCTTTTCTCCGGAGCAGCACTTTTCGACACGTGCAAACTGTAACTGAGCTGGAAACGTGTCGGGTTTTATCTGCAACTTGCCGCCGGGCAATTATTTAAATATTAATAAATTGGCAGGCGTAACTTTAAACCAGTGTACATGAGAGAAAATCCATAGACTCCAATTTGCAAGACAGTTTTTGCCTATTACAGTCACGCAAGTTGTCTTTGCGTCGAAACGAACAATAGAAGCAAAATAAGAAATAAACATATTTATATATTCGCGATATATGACGCTCGTGCTTACGATGAGTGTATGTTAAACTCTCACTTGCACCATGTGGTTTATTTATAATTTTTTTTTTCTCTTGTAACTTTTTCTTCCTCTCCATTCAAGAATGAACCTGCCAAGCAGAACGGAGCCATCTTTGAGAATAAACTGAAGAAAACAGAGAAAACAACAAGGTAAAACTTGTTGTTGTTGACACCTTGACATAAAACAAAATGAAACCCAACCAGACAGAAGACCTGCCTGTAATCCCATATTCTTCATTGCCAAGTGCTGCTGTAAATAACGGGTTCGCTGTGCGAGCAGGGACGGCGTTCCTTCCAGCAAGGCGGAGGACGCCGAGCGACGGGAGGCCGAGCGCAAGCTGCTGGAGCTGAAACAGCGGCGGAACGACGCCGAGAGCGAGGAGATCGAGAAGATGAAGCAGAAGCAGCAGGACGCGGAGGCCGAGCTGGAGGAGCTCAAGAGGAAGAGGGAGGAGAGGAGGAAAATCCTCGAGGAGGAGGAGAAGCAGAGGAAGAAGGAGCAGGAGGAAAAGAAAGCCAAAGAGCAGGTGAGCATATCGTAAAGGAAGCATCTGCAGTTTTAGTTGGGAGGCCGAAACATTTTGCCGCCTCAAAGCTTCAACTGTTCGTGCTGTTTGGTTGCACTGCTGTGTTTCTAACAGGAGGAGAGGAAGAGGATGAAGGAGGAGATAGAGAAAAGAAGAGCAGAGGCTGCAGAGAAGAAGAAACACATGGGGGAGGAAGCAGCAAAACCTGATTTCACCATCAGTCCAAAAGGCTCCTCTAAGGTGAGATTTGGAGAAAAAAAAAATTGGTTTTGTTAATTTTAACGTGATTTCAAAACCTACAGCATGTAGTTAATGGGGGGAAAAAGAAGTTCCAAATCTTGGGGAATTTTCAGTACTTTGGTGTCTATTATCGCCTCACCATATTGTCGGCCATGCTGACTGAAAATGAGCGACAAAGAAAGAAAAGCAGTTCAAAAAGATTATTAGAGTAAAGTCTTAAGACGACAATCTCCCTTTGCTTTAATAAAATATTGCACATATATCCAGATTGCTGACACTCTAACTTCACAGGTCAGGTTTGTTTCTTGTCGATGTTAATTCTGAGCAAACGCTGTCTCGCCATGCAGATTGGGGAAAAGGCAGAGTTTCTGACCAAGTCTGCTCAGAAAAGGTGGGTCAGACGACAAGTAGCACATGAGCAAATATAAATAATCAAACGTTTCCTGTTTTATGTCTAACGTGCAGAATGTTTGTCATCCCTTCAACAGCCCAGCGAGGTTGTCACATACTCCGCTTGTGCCAAAGATTGGGAACAGATTAGAACAGTTCACCTCCGCTATGCAGGTGAGACGTAACATGATCAAATTCACACTCAGTAAAAAACGGAGGGGGGGAGGGGGAGAGAGGCATGTCCAGAAATGTATGTATTTGAATTCTGGCTGAAAATAAAAAGCGAATAGAACAAGGGCTCTGCAACTCGCGCCGCCACAGATCCACGGAAAATCAATCTGTGGCAAGACTTTTAAATTCACGCTTCCAGCTGCTCTCCATCCAGCCCGGCTGGGACTGAGGTGTTTTTCCAAAAAGGACTGTATATCGATTTTATCTGTAGAGACGGAAGGCGGCACCCCTCAAAAGACTTGCAGGTCAGAAGTAAAGTGAATGTAGATAAACTATTGACTCACTGAAGGCTGGATCCAGAGGCACGACTGGCTTTTTAGATTTAGCCTCCTTTTCTAAGAAAACACACACACACACACACACACACACACACACACACACACACACACACACACACACACACACACAAGCAACCACTGTCTAAATACAATGAAAAAGTTTCAAAAACAAACTCTTCAGTGCGTTGCTGTGTGTGTTGACATGAAAGAACTGGACTCCCTTCTTTTTGTCTCCACAGGGAAACAAAGAGGTAAAATCTCCCAAGTCTCCTCTGGCCGACATCCCTACGGGAGGCACGCGCAACATCAAGAGCATGTGGGAGAAAGGCGCTGTGAGCAGCCCCCCCGAAAGCCCGGCTCCTGCAAACAAGGTGAGACGGGGATGTCCGAGAGGATCGGATGCGTTGTCGTGATGTCGGAAGGAACGTCAAAGGTGAGAATCCTTCTCAACTCTTCCAGGATGCGGCTGGTATCAAAGGAAGTGTGGCGGGACGCGGCAACAGCTGGAAGGGGAAGCCTGCAGAAGCAGAGAAGACCCCGGTTCCTCCAGCAGCAGCAGCAGCACCATCACCGCCAGCAGCTGCAAAGCCACCAGTAAGACCTGATGAATCCTTCTCTTCATGTGGCCGCTATAACAAGACACCAGAGTTGCTTTTGTTACAGTAATCCTTTGATATTCCGAGCACGCTAATTTCTTCCCTCGCACGTCGACGTATCGGTCTTTTGTTAGCTGGAGCTTTTGTGTCGGCGCTCCGTGAATGAACGGCGCAGCCAGCAGGAGTCTGGTGACCCCACATGGACTGTTCAACCAACAGCATCTGCTTTCGCTCCTCACCGCTTCCTTTTATACTTTTTCTAAAGTTTTAACGTTTTTATTATCTAAATGCCTGACAGAAGCTTGTATTAAGAACTTACTTACAGTGTTGAAAATGGGATAAAACCGTTGAAATGTCATTAAAAACACTACGGTGCGTATTTATCTTGGTTTTTTTTTCATACTCGGCAGCAGCGAGAACTTATCGTTCTACGTCAACACAGCAAAAAAACAAAAAACAAAAAAAAAAACCAAACAGGACAAAAGATAGAAACTGAGAGACACGTTTACTTTATCACCACACGTAATCTGTACATGTGTGAATTGTGTCTCTGCTGAGCTGCTACTTGGTGGACATTGTGTTCTTTTCCAGAAGTAGGACACAAGCTGCTAATCCCAGCAGCTTCTCTGGAGACATCACACCGTCTCCCCTTACAGCAGCGTTTCTGAATGACGTGTCACATTGTTCTGAAGCACAATTTAAGAGCAAAATGACTTTGGGGTCAAATGTGACTTGTGACTTGTTGGCTCAGCGCGCTGCGACTTTTGCATCAACATCCCCACCTGATGGAAAAACGCTACGCAGCAGTCTAGAGGACTGGCTGTGTCATTGACTATTCCTGGTTTTTCTTTGGTTTACTTCCTGTTTGCTGTGGTTTTTGCAGTTTTTGCTTTTATGATTCCTGAATATATTTACTAGTATGATGTAAACAAAATAATTTTGGAGTTTTCTTTTTTTTTAGTGTCTTCATTTTCCCATCAAGCGGATGCTAAATTAAACAGAACTTGTTGCTGAACACATTGAAATAAATGCTATTGAAATATAATCTGGACGTTGTTCACTTGAGCAACGTTAGACTTTATCGGGCACAATAGTAATCAAGCTCATTTCAGAATCTCGTGAATGTACATTACTCTGTTGATTGTTGCAGAAAGATTGTGTGAAATTACAACATAAGGTCGAGATATTATCCCAGAGTATCGTCACATTCTGACCTCTCAGGCTAACATGACTGTTTTCCTTTGACGTGGCAGGAGGCCAAACCGGGTGAAGTTGGTAAACGCGGCATGTGGGAAGCCAAGAGAGGCTCTGCACCAGCCAAGGTGTCAGACACACACTCACCTCACCAGCCGTTTTTAAGGACAATCCACCAGTTACAGCTGCTTGAAAAACTATTAGGCATCAGTTTCAGAAGGTTGTCCGCACTTATGATTGGCTTAATTTATGCATAGTTCAGCTTCATTAATTAACAAATTCTCTTCACTCTAATCTATGTCCATATCCATGCATATTCTTTATAAATAGGTAAAGAAATAGATGGGAATCAGAGCTCTTTATTTTGTTTTCAGCCAGACATGTGGTGGGTTGGCACTATAAAAAAAACAAACAAACAACTGAATTAATTTAACTTACTTTATGAAGATCCTTAATTTCCGGCGTACAGGCCAAGCTTATTTCCATCGTTCATGCTGTCGTTCTTGTTTCTAGGTGGCGGTTGGAGGGAAAAGCAAGTTCAATTAGAAAGACACCAAACGGTGAGTGACCGGCACACGTTTAGTGCTTTTACCGGTTGGATTTGTTTATGTTCACTCATCAGGTTCTTTATGTGAGTTTTCTAATTTCATCTGCCAAGAGGATTTCTATGCTGCTTTAGAAAACAGGCAGAAATGACAAAACATGAAACAGATGGTTATGTTTACACGTTGATTACTAATGAGCACATTAGTTACTGTCTGCACTCAAAGCAGGGTTAAGGTGAGAGTATCTAGTGCTAATGCAAACCCACCAACAAATGTCTGGCCTCCCAAACTGACAGGCTGGGCAGGGAAAGCATTAATGAGAATTCAAAGCACCTACGGTAACTCTGGAGGATGTGCAGAAATCCACAGCTCAGGTGGGAGAAATTGACACTAGAATAAATGTGAACTGTGTGACACAGAGATGTAAACATCTGGAAGGAGGCGAACTGGGTCACATGCGACCGTCACTAAACGTTTCTGCAAACACGCCTGAAAAGCGTCTGGCTGTGAGGTGAGGTTGCTGTTCTTTAGCAAGAATCTGCCTGAGCTTGAACTGTTTTGCAGAAGAAAAACAGGCAAACATTTCCGTCTTGCAGCTAAAATTGCAGTGAAAGGCGATTCTGCAAAGTATTGATTGAATACAAACTGCACCACACACTTTTTTTTTTTTTTTTTTTAAAGAAACAGAAGACCAAAAACAATAATGGTGGACTTTGTGTCAATTTGACGTAGTGTACTACAAATGTTGATTTAAAAAAAAAAAAAAAAAAGTACCTGGCTAATTGAGTCAAATAAAGAACCAGTTCAGTTTTAGCTCTTTCTACAAATGCATAAGACGATTCATGTTAAACCAGCGTTCACCTTTACCATCAGGTATGTTTGCCTATATCCTTGGTAAGACGAGGAGGCTCTGACTGATTCGTGCCCCACAGGGAGCCCATAACCTCCCCAACCCACCTACTGTACTTTGTAGAAGACTAGTTGCTTCTCTGTAAATCAAATCTCCTGCGCGGGATATTTGGGCACCGGCTCAGCTCTGTGCCACCGAGGTCTATATTTAAAAACGTCCTCCATGACCTTGTTTCCCAGTATAAAGAAAGTTCCAGACTCCTGACGTGTCTGTCGTGTTTTTTGAAGCACACTGTTCAGCGAGTGTGCCACCTGGATAGCCCAGTGACGTGCAGAGAGCCAGTAAGCTGTCAGGCATGCCGCAGTGCAGCTCCTTGATTTTCACATTAAAACTGAGTGCTGGGAAGGATTACCGACACTTTGAGCTGCGAGTCGGCCTTGTTCGCCAGGCTTATTCAATCTACACAGCCATATCCCGTCGTATGGAAACGCGTCTTTAGAGAATCGTGGAAAAATTCTTAAAAATATAAACACTTACACTCGTTTGTAGACACTCAGCCCTGGATCTGACTTCCAAATATAATATATTTTTTGAGGAAAACACTTTCAGGCCAGGTTTTTTAGTGACAAAAACCCCCCAAAGGTCTCTTAGAAAGGGCACCAGTGTTCCCTTGTGGGCTAAAGAGAGCCATCCTAAAGGTCAGCCATTTCAAAGGCACTCCACATGTCAAGCTTCTGTGTTAGAGTAATCAGACAAACCACAACACACTACTTGAATTTTAAGAAAGTAATCTAATGAAACCAAAACAGAACGTTTTGGTCTAAAGAATACTTGTAACGTCTGGAGAAAGCAGGCACTGCTCATTTCTCTGGCTAACATAATATCTATTGTGAAGCATGGTGATGGCTGCATCATGCCCAGAAACTGGGCGCCTTCCGGCCTGACAGTAACTTCTCTCTTATATCTTTGAGAAGTCTTGCTAAAGCCTAAACGAAAATGAAACATGTCTGGAAAGACATAAAAATGTCTGCCTAGCTAAACCGGCTAATTCATCTCGGTTAAGAGTTTACGTGGAGAAAAACGGCATGAAAAGCTTGTAAAGATACACCTAACCAATACTTGTAATTACCGCCGCCGGTGTTTCACCAAAGTATTGACTAAAGACTGTGACTCTTTACACACACGCGGCATATTTTTGTCTATTCTGAATCTAGTCCGTTTGGCAAAAAAACAACAACCAAAAAACACCGTTTGAACATGCAAAAATCTGGAGAAAGCTGAGTGGTGTGAATACTTTCTGGATGCGCCGTAAACGGAGAGGTGTCGGCTTCAGCCATAAATAGCGATCCTTGTTTGTTCCCTCCCAGTGTCTTCATGAGAAATGGACAGCTGAGGAACGAAGTGAAGGGCAAATGACCAAGTTTTTCAACCACAAGGAGGCTCGTATTGACTTTGTGGTCGAAGTTTCTAAAGAAAACAAATGCCAGTTTGAGCTAGTCAGGTATATCCATAAAGGAAAAGGGATATAAAGCTTTGGTAAACAACCTTGAGGCTAATGCTGTTTCACACCTACTAAACTATTAGAATCTATACATAGCAACTTTGACTGATGCAGTGACTAATACATCTGTTGTCCTACTCTCTGCAGGCTTAACAAAAAAAAAAAATATATATATATATATATAAACAACCGATGACTTCATGGTCAAGCTGTTTCCTGACTGAAAAGGTTTCTGCTCTCCTTCGGGCTCCTTTGCCCTTCACCGCACTTCTCATTCCTGCCAGAAAGGGAGCCGACGTTCCAGGCTGCCAATCACCTGCACCAGCTAACATCTGCTCTACGGTACGAGTAATTCTGCACTGCTGCGTATTTGATCACTTCCAACCCCAATCAAGGAGAAGTTGATGCGACCATGCTGAGTTTTGGCTACATAGATGACTGCCGTGAGGACTCATAATCTGTTATTCAGCCGTAATGTGACATACAAATGTGACAAAAACATTTAATGACAAAATAATTATGCTTTTACAATAACAGTTATCTTTAAATACCAATATCGGAGGTTGTTCTTTGCAATGCATGCCCCAAGGAACAAGTGAACTAAGCAATTTATTTGGGCCTCCAAACCAACAGGGGGCGCTCAACCACACTGCAACTTTCACACAAGTCTGGTTTTTGAATCGTTTATTTTATTTTATTTTGTTTTTTCTTTTTTTGTGTGGGGTAAATCTGTTGTAATTGTGTAACACAAACCTTGTTATCCTCTATATTCAAAATTTAGATCAGTGTAGTATGACGGTGAAGAAAATATTTTGTACTTAAATGTTTAAAGGCAGCCCAGCTGTTTCATGCTTCTCATTTCTATGGAAAAGTACGGACTAACAACCTAAATCAACGTATCAGGGAAAGCATTTCGGTTTTTTTTCTTCTTCAAGTTAAGGTAGCTTCTCCTACATCATGTCCACCATCTTTTCAGACAGCAGACATTTCTAGCTCTAGATGTCAAAAACAAACAAATACAAAGATATTCTGATATTTTTTAAAACTTGAGTGACATCATCACTGTGAACAAAAGCAAATGAAAATGAATTGAAGGAACATGCAGTTAGTTATTGTGTAGCAGATATTCTTCGGTTGTAAACAATAATAATCCATAATGGTCTGAACATGGATGATATAAAGAGTATATTATTTAAGATGTGGTGACTGATGGTAGCTGAAAGGCCCCCAGTCAAAATTAGCTAGAGGCCCGATTCAGCCTCGGACCGGCTCTGCTCTAGAATGTTTCCACTTTCAGCTTCTTGAAAATGTACACAAAACGAATATAAATAAGTCAATTTTAAAAAAGCAATGCAAATTAGAACCTCGCATATTGCTTACTATTAAATTAATTTAATATATTTTTTAACTCTTCTTTAGGGCTAATATAACACTTTAGAAAGTCCTAGGATTGTTTCAAGATATCTTATGTCATGTTAATTTGTTTTAGATTATATTGCTAATGATGTTATGATTAGACATGGGCCTGGTTGAGTTTCTCACTGTATGACCTTGAGTAGAACGATTAAAAAAAAAAAAAAAAAAAAAAAAAAATAAAAAACACTCAAAAAAAAAACAGAAAAAATTAAAGGACTTACTGGGGGAAGTAAAATTTTTTTT